GCGAAATAACCCCGAACATTTCGTTCAAGACGTCGTGGGTGCCAGGACGTCGTGGACGGTACGGTCGCTGGCGGTCGCTGACGGTTCAGGACTCAATCTTATTTATTTTTGTGATGATTGGAAAGACTTTGATTGTAGCTTGTTGTATGGCTGCGTACCCACCAGTGGCACACTTCGATCCGACGTCCGTGTGTTCGGGGGCGAAGACTGACGATGAGGTAGCTACATGTGTAATCGAGAGTGTGGAGAATGGTACGGAGTTTAATTACTTCTTGCCGAAGAAGTTTGAGTCGTTGACGAAGCCGACAGTGTGCAATGGCTCAGATAGCCGTACGTTCCTTTCGGTAGATTACAAGCAGCAAAAGGTGACGGCTGATAACAAAGGACTGCGCATGCCGCCGTATTCCGTTACTCTCCATCACCTTCCGGCGAGCGTGTCTGCCGGGGGGACTGTCGGCTCTTGTGTACCCAAACTCTACATCGCCGACCCGACCAAATCGTGTCCTACAACCGGCGAGCTCGCCTTGTACCCGGGCTCGCTGTCAGATGAAGCATCCAACACCTGGGATTTCGTCTTGCAGTCGCCTCCTGCTGCAGCAGACCCCGACGCAAACGACGCGCTGAAACTACTCATTGCTGACGCCGACTGTCAACCTGACGAAGCATACCTCGTCTACGGCATCGGCAACTACGCTGCTGGGAGCACCGCAGCGATCGTCGTCTCGCTGGCTACTGGTCTCAGTCTAGCCATGCTCTAATCCCGCCAACCTCACCAGCACACCGGACTACTCCCTTGATCTGACTATTCCCTGCTACTCCCTTGATCTGACTACTCTAGTTCGAGAGATCGCAAAAATATATTACACCAGGCGAGCGGAGTATACTGACTGACTCACCGCGGGCACCGACCCACTCAGCGCCATGACCGACCGGCCGACCCAGTGTGCAGACTGGCTCATTATGCGAGCCAACTTAGTGTTCCCTTTTTATCTTATCTTTCGGCGGCGCCGTGGTCTCTCCACAACGGCAGCCCAATTATCAGT